TCTACAAGTATAATTAGAATGATCAAGTCAAGGAGAATGAGGTGGGCAGGTCATGTAGCATGAATGGGGGAGACGAGGAATGCGTATAGGATATTGGTGGGAAAGCCAGAAGGAAAGAGACCACAGGGAAGACCAACGCATAGGTGGGTGGACAATATTAAAATGGATCTTAGAGAGATAGGACGGGATGGTATAGATTTGATAGATCAGTGCAGGGCTCTTGTGAACATGGTGATGAACCTTTGGGCTCCATAAAATGATGGGAAATTCTTGAGTAGCTGCAGAATTGGTGGCTCCTCAAGAAGGGCTCAGCTCCATGAGTAATTAATTTTTTGTCATTTTTTTACATTTTTAGGTTCAAGGTCATTTTTTCATTTTGGGGGTAATATTTTGGTAACTTTTTGGACTTTTAAGGGTATTTCTTGTCATTTTTGGCCATTTTAGGGAATGTTTCTTCATATGTTTTCTGAAATGTGAATAACATGGAAGCGAAGTGTTCTTTCTTTTCTCCTTTAGGTCATTTTTCTGGATTTTTCAGTCATTTTTTTAACATTTTCAGGTCATCAAAATCCGGGCCCTGCATATTACATTTTTGGATCACATTTTAGGTCATTTTTCTGGATTTTTCAGTCATTTTATAAATATTTTCAGGTCATCAAAATCCGGGCCCTGGTTATGACATTACTCTAGTATAGACCTCATTTTGGGATTTTGTGTCCAAGAAGACAAACACATGAATAATGTGGACTGTATGTGCCAGTACATATCCGATTAGGCTAAATAAATTCACCCAACTTACAACAACACTGTTTTCTTAAAATGAGACTTTCCCCAGGACCATAAAACATGTATAAAGGAACCCTGGTATTATTAGGATCAATAAAATTTGGATGTTCTTATGAATACTTGTAATATCCAAAAACAAAAAAGTTTAAATATGTAACTACAAGATCATCCCCCCCAACTTCCAACTACATGTAGTGCTTCGATAATAACACTAATATGGCTTGGCAATATTTCTTGTCTGGTGTGGTTATCATGGGGATATGAATATAACATATAATATTAGCATCATCTGAACTGAAGACTTAAAATATTTTTCTCACACTTACATCACCTCTTCTACTTGCAACCAACTGCTAATTGGCAGCTGTTCCTTATGAACAGAAGTCCCACCCACTATTTGCTGATCACAATTAAAATATCAAACCATTTACTAATTTTGAAGTAGAATCAGTCTGGTTCAAGCAGTGCTACAATAAAAAATAATTTAACTTACAGTCACATCATACTCAACTAAACAATGAAAGAAGTTGCCGGAAGTATTGTTATCATGGTGCCAATATAGTAAACTGCGATATTCTAATAGAATTTAAACATATGTTTAAAATAACCAGTTAGCTGTTAATGACTTTCAGACATTTCTAGGTTCATAATGAATGATTTTACGAGAAGTTTGTGCTTAATTTCATGGTTCACTTCATATGACGAATGTTCATACAATAAACAATGAACAGAAAATTCACTGCATACCTAATGATGAGCTATTACACCACTCTGAAGCACTCATCGGAATAACTTTTTTCAAACATTAACTCACTCAATTACTTCAAATTTTATACATCATCTCAAAGTTCTAACTGTTAAAGCGTCCTCTTACAAACTAACATTTCACACACCCACACTTTATCTTTCACAGCAATAGGCGCCTAAGCATGAACATACCTGATTAAGAGCTGCATTAATGGCTGCCATTTGACTTGACATGCTGGACGAGTTAGTCCTCACCAAACTGGCTCGTTCTGCACTGGACATGCCCTTGCCCAAACTTGCCAAATGTTGCTGATGATTCATAGTGGCGGATGCTGTTGAAGTGGAGTTGGCTGTTGCGGATGCTAGACTGCTCTGCATGGATGATTGTTGCTGTGTTGCAACTGTTGTCCCAGGTACTGTAGCCACTGGCTTTTGTAACAAACTAGAAGGAACTAATGATGGTGTTGTGACAGATGCTGTGGCTGAATTAGATTGGGGGAGGTTACCACTTGTTACATTTGCTGAAGGAGAAGGTCCACCTGTGGTCGATATGGAGGCAGATGTTGAAACTTGGGAAGAGAGTGAAGAGGTGATCTGTACATCGGAAGTTGACAAAGCAGAGGAATTGGGCGTGGAGACCGGGGGAGGAAGAGGAACTCTATTACCGGCAACTGTTGTCGAAGTTGAAGTTGGAGGAAACTGGTTTTGAAGACCAAATGGTGATGCAGCAGACTGAGCCTGAAAGAAATAAGAAAACAGCACTGGCTACATACTTGGATGAGAATGTACTGTTCCCAGAGAGAATTTAAGATAGCACCTGTGATTCAAACAAATTAACGACATTTTTTAATATTCATTCACCACTGCAGGAACATTTTGAAAACATTCAAGCTATGATAGTTTGCACAGTATAATACAGGGAATGAAATAAATTCAGAAAGGAATCTTGGAGAAGAGATCAATACAGGTACAGATATACCCTGATTTTTGCAGTAGTTGTGTTCCAAAGAAGTCAGAAGGTAATTTGTATAAGACAGACATAATATTCCCTCTCCTCACATTCCTCCTCCTTAAATCCACAGAATACTCCACAACCCCTTCTCACCCAACCCTCAACTGAGCAGCACGAAACTCTAACTGAAATTGTACTACACTGGTTAAGCACATTAGAATGAAATTGCACTTTTAAAATCTGCATACAATTATGAGTACCCGATAAAGATATCCCAAAACAAAAATCTGTAAAATATATTTTAAACACATACTAAAATAAAAAGCTGAAACATGGACCCTTACAAAGTGAAACAAAATCAAAATTCATGCATTATATATAAAATTTTTGATAGGTACTGAGGGGAAAAACAAGATGGGACAAAATCAGATGAAATGTTTAATGAAAGTAGAATTTAAGAGGTAGAGGGGAAACTATTACAATGATTTGACACAAAGTAAATGGTTACAACAAAGACATCATGAAACGATCCATACATAAAATGTAACAGAAACAAACCTACTGGATGGCTCATATCAAGATGATTTGGTCAAATACAGGTAGGCAACAAGAGCATAAGGTGGCAGCAGAAAATAAAAAATTAAAGTATGTGGCCGTCTTTAATGGCAGAATTTTAATCTACCATCCCATACAAGATGAAAATAATGTGAGCTGAATATGAAAGGGCAAAATAGGATGGTTCATGATCGCAATCAGTTTTAAAGAATTACAGTGAAACAATAATATAGTGAAACCTCAAATTTACACCATAACTTTGAAAGATCACTTACATATCTACAGGTAAAAGGTAAAGTTGTTCCTGTGCTCAACCAAGCAATACGCCATGAAGGTGTATGGGGGAGTGGACGTATACATCAACATTTTCTTGATCTTGGCACCAGATGGAGGTTAGTGGTCAGCTTAAGGCCCTGGCTGCTTTAGCCCCGAGGAAGAAACCTCCAGTATATGTGTACAGGAGGTAGACACAATAATGGAAACACTCATAGTGAGTCGCACGAGCACGAGTAATGTGGACACGCCTTTAGAGGAAGGGACAGATAAATGCGCTGAAGTGGGTGCAAAAACATGGTGGCTAAATTTGCACATCACAGAAATGATTCAAACTGGGATACCTTGAAAGAGCACACAAAGATAGCTTGCATATGTGCCCTCTTCAAAGCATACATGGAAGAACGGACTTGGAAGGCTATAGCTGATAGATTACAAAGCTTATGACCATTCTGTCAAAGAGTGGAGTGAATCAATGACTCAATTAGCAAAGAATCCTTAACAGCAGAACGATCATCCAGAGGCTTAGTCACCTGTGCAACGAGTTATGAAATATGAAGGCTATACACATAATAACCCATTAGCAATAAATTAATTACATAAGTGACCCAATTCTCTCTAACGTATGTCAGGCAGTGTATTTTTATGTTTTTTGTATTATTCTCAAGAACAGCAATTATTTTCCTCACAGCAACAAATAGTTCATCTTTACAATGGATATGCAGCATGTTCTGTGAGTCAGGAACTTGATTTTTAAATACCGTCAAGTGTTAGGTGACACGGCACACAGTCTGGATGTTAACGGGATTTACTGGACTCATAAATCTAACTATAAGTAATAACAACACTCTGACTAATTCATGCACTCAACTTCTTAACACGGTACATGCTAAGTCTTCTACATCTTCACTAGCCACAGCCCGACAGTGGATCCTAACAATGTCCTCTGCTTACATCTTTAGCAACTGGTGACTGCCTCACAACTAACCAATCAATCTGGTGACTTGGCAGCAATGCTGGCCTTCTAGCCATGACTGTCCACTCACTTGCTATCCCTGGTTGTATAGCCTTAGCACACACAACAGAAAACTATGCAAGGCAATGACTCCTTCTTTAGTGACATCATCGTGTGCTTACCATGCCACTGCCTAGCAATGGATATATCTTTTAGTCATTAAGTTCCAATATTATTTATATAAGCTGCAGGCATTAAAGGAATAATACTGCTTTTACTTAATTTTTACTGGCCACAAACAGTAATGTAAGTCTGGGGTATCAACGATTTAAACTGAACTAATATGGGGGTTCATTACTCACAGCACTGCTCTCTAACCTGTTGTTCCCAATGTTGCGGTAAAGTGGTTAGCATCTTCATAATCAGGAACCCTACATTCAAATCTTGGCCCAATGACCAGCTATCATGACAGAGTTCAACTGTGGTTTCCATCAGTACCTAAATGCAAATGCTGCGACAAGATATTAAATTAGGCCATAACCACCTCATCTTCTTTTCTTCATTACCAGGTGACATATATATCAATTAAATTTCATTTACATTGAAAATTTTCCTGGGCAATGTTTTTAAATACTTGTTAACTGTACGTACAGTTTTCTATTAAAAAAATACATTCACTCGTGCAAAATAAATCTGAACAAATGCAGTTGTAATTAAGTATGAGAAACCAACATTCTTCTTCCTTGATGGGTGGTACATACCTGCGTCTGTACAGTACTTGAGTTCGCAGCTGCAGCCGCAACAGCAAGGCGAGCCTTCATCATATCTGGGAACTGGTGCTGCTGCTGTTGCTGACTAGGAGCAGCTGGGCTGCTTGGGACCCCGCCACCACTAGCACCGCCACTTCCTGCAGTCCCCACACCATTGTTGGTGGCATACTGACTGGCTGCTGCCACATTAGTTGCGGTTGTGGCAGATGCCATTGTCATGTTGGGTGGAGGACCCTGTGGGTGAAACACTACTCGTTACGATGTGTCAATAATTCACACTTCCATGATCAAGCTTGACAGTTTCATAACATCAGCCATGTTCAAAAGGCAACACACTCTCTCTCAGGTTTATACGGTTTTCAATTACTGCATACATCCCACCCAAGGCCTAAAACCCCTTGGACCAATTTATGGTCAAAACTGTCCCAGTGTGTGTAATTAAGCACCATGCCATGAAGACATATGGGAGAGTTTAGGTACAGCTCCATGCATTCTGAACCTCAGCACCAAATGGACATGAAAAGTCAGCTTCAAGCACCAGAGCCAGTCTGGATATGGCAACAGAGAGAAAACTCCTAACTCTGTCAGGAATCAAACCTCAGTTATCCAGAAAACAGCCAGTCCATATACGAATTTAACTATGTTGGCTTCTATAAGAAATAACTGCATATACAACACATTATTTTTGCACAACTACAGTCGAGTTGTGATTTAGCATTCAGTGTGGTCCACCTCAAACAGCACTGGCTGACAGTCAGGTATTGGTTAGGAGTGATATCAGTTGTTTTTTTATTTACAAGCACTGTACCACAACCATACTGAGGCACGATGGGAAGTCATAATGTTTTAATTATCACAATGAGAAAAACATAATTCCAAAATATCGTTCTATATACGAGACAGAACATTTCCTGAGCTTGCCGGTCAAATTTTCCTGTGCCAAGTGGATAAAGGGAGCCACCGAAAGGGGAAGAAGCAACATGGCAAAGTCAGTTGAGAAAGTGGAGGCTCGTGCTGTGATATGGTTCCTGCATTTTCAAGGGAAGTCTGCCAGAGAGACCCACGACCAGACGACCGCTGTGTATCAGGAAGGTGTACCATCATATGACAGTGGTCAGGTGGAAGAGGCGCTTTCATTGTGGACAGACAAACCTCGAAGATACATCCTGAAGTGGAAGACCATCTTTCGCTGAGGAACCAGGAATCATGGCAAAGGTGGAAAGCTTTGATCCTATCCGATAGGGGCATAACTATCAAAGCTATTGTTCATGAGGTCCGCATGAGCCATGGATCGGTTTTCAGCATCATCCATGATGAGTTATATGTGACAAAGGTCGCTGCGCATTGGGTGCCACGGTTGTTGACACAAGTTCAAAAAAAGCAATGGACAGATGTGGCAAAGAAAATTTTGCAGTTGTGCCAAGATGAAAAGGTGGAATTTTTCGACTGCCTGATCACGATGGATAAATGTTGAGTCTATCATTATGACCCTGCAACAAAGGAAATGCGCAAGTAGTGGAAAGAAGCAGACTTGCCACTACCAAAGAAGGCCAAATCCCAGCCATCATCAGGAAAGATGATGTTGAATGTGTTCTGGGATCGGCAGGTTCTCATCATGAGTGACTACGCGCAAAAGGGCGTCACCATCACTGGTGAGTACTACCAGAAAGTTATGAGAAAATTATGGGAGAAAATCAAGGAAAAAAGAGATGCAGAATACTGGGAAAAGGTGTGCAACTTCTTTGCGACAACGCACCAGCTCATGCTACGAAGATACTTCCTGCCAGTTTGGGACATGAAATTCTCCTCCATCCACCATATTCACCAGACCTGGCACTGAACAATTTCTTCCTCTTTCCACGGCTAAAGAAGCCACTTCGTGGTAGGTGATTCCAAGATGATGATGACACAATTTCTGCAGTGAACGACTTCCTAAAGGCAGTGAAGGACTTCCTAAAGAGTCAAAATGAGACCTTCCATGATCAAGGTATCCAGCAGCTAATGCATCGCTGGGGAAAATGTGTGGCCTTGCAGGGGGCATATGTAGAAACGGACTAACACACACAATTTCTTGCACCTGTGTCTCTGTTTCTTCTGGGTGATAATATTTTATGACTTCCCCACGTAGTCTGAATACTGCACAATTGCAACTCCACTTTTCAACATTTGGAGTTCAAGTAAAGATCTGACAACATTCTATTGCTTGAGTTGAGGTTTGCTGAATCACATGCAGGTGGGGTCAGGGATCATTATACTGTGGCTGCAAAACCACTTCTACTTACTTGAGACATTGGCTGGCCAAAAGGTGACAGTCCTGGACCAGACACAGTCACCATGCTACCTGGAGGGCCTTGGGGTGTACTGGAAGTACTATTTGGGCTGGGTCCAGGTGGACCCACTACTAAATGCTGCTGTTGCTGCTGTGGCTGCTGCTGGCCTGGTTGAGGTGGGAATTGCATGCGGTTTTGCTGTGGACCCAGGCCAGGAAGTACATGGCTCATGCCTAAAGAAAACATCAGAACTTCAAGATACCTTAACACTTATATTTAATTTTTATACAAAAGAAAGGTGCCATATTTTAAGCAGCATGTAGCTCATGCCACCCCACAGGAACATGCATCTGTAAGAGTCAAGATGTCAGATGTAAGAAGTAGCTTTGGAATAGACAAACACATTTTACCAGTTAGTTAAATATATATCATTATTCATAATCTGTATGCCCCAGTAATTTATATCCCATACATGTAGACTATTTTGGTAATTCTGAACACTAAGGGACATAAAACAGATTGGAATTTCTTGCCTTTTATCAAAAACACCCTCGTATCCACATTCTCCCCTGTATGAGTAGGTTTCAGATCCATCTTACTTGAGATGTGCATATATACAGGTGTATCACAACTCAATGGCAAAACTTGAGGAATGGACTCCTCATTTAGAGAGAAGAAAAAAAGTACAACATGTGTCTGGAAATGCATATAATTACAGAGTAGTAATTGTGTCTGCATGCCACTGAAAAGAATTGGCGACCTGCATGATTTTTATCAGTGTGTCAGCTTTTCACTGGGAGGACAGACTTTCTATCGGCGGGTCGGCTTTTCACTGGGAGGACAGCTCTATGATTATCATGACATCTCTGATTACTTTGTGATAAATTTTCTTCTTTCAATTCCTTTCAGTGGCGTGCAGACGCAATTTCTACTCTGTAATTATGTGCATTTCCGGACCCATGTTGTCATAAACTTTTTTCTTCTCTCTACATGAGGAGTCCATTCCTAAAGTTTTGCCATTCAGTTGTGATACACACTGTATATCAGTCACATAAGTTGTCTGTTGTCTGAATAATGAACTAGGAATATATCTTAAACTTACCTGGAGAGTGACCAGGAAGGCCTGACTGAGGTGTTGCCTGCATATTTGGTGGAGCAGTACCAACGGTACGTGTGGGAACAGTGCCAGGAACTCCAGACCTCATCTGTGGTGGTGGCTGCTGCTGAACTTGCTGCTGCTGTTGTTGCTGTTGTTGCTGCTGCTGTAGTTGCTGTTCTTTGCGCTTCTGTCTCTTTTCCTCTGCAAGTACACAATGTTGTTCTCGAATTTGGGTACTTCATTCCAATGCAAATCAATTTCCAAATGAGAACTTTGTGAACAGAGATATATCATGACAGTGAATTCTTTTAATCAGTAATCCTCTACTTGATATAGTATGTGCATGGTCTGGGTATTATGACATACAGAAAAATGTATGACTGATTTGAAACAAAATATATAACTACTTGCTGGCTGGGATATGGAAATCTCCAACTAAAAGTAGGGAAATCGAACTTAGCTCCTACAATTATTAGATGCTGTTATTTACATTACACTATTTAATATGTGTGGACATCATGGCACGTAGATTGTACGTACAGACAAAGATTTAAGAATGTAACAAAATATTCTAAAGATGTTCCTAAAATTCTATATTGTAAGGCACTCTTACAAATCATAAAGTACAATGTCTGGGCTTAAATTCAGATCCAAATCAGATGGACGTCTTCAAAGAAAATGTAACGGCTGCTTACAACTTACCCAGTTCCTTCTGGATTTTGTAAATCTTCTCTGCTAGAAGGTGATAGTATTCAGACTGGAAAAAAAAAACATGGGTCATGTGAGTAGTAATAAATGACACAAATCACCAGTGTTATGTAAGAGAAAAACACAAACTTCAGACTGAAAAAAAAAACACATGGGTCATGTGAGTAGTAATAAATGACACAAATCATCAGTGTTATATAAGAGAAAAACACAAACTTACCCTTGAATTAGCCATTTCATACATATCCCCTTCAACTTTACGAGCATATGCAACAAGATTGTGCATTCTCTTATCAAGCATTGCTTGAGGATCCGGTGTTGGGAAGATTGCTTGAACCCTGAAAAAATAAAGAATTATATCAAATGCCCTTTGTGAAAAATGTCCAAACTCCAATATTTCATTACATAATCCAAAGACCATATTTTTTTATCCCGAATATGCTAGGCAAATAAATTCCAGTATATTTTACACATTCCATTCTCAAGTATGACAAATCAATATCAATGAAGTATCATCACCAAATATGAATGGGACAATCACAGGTACAAAACCAACATGAGAATGAACCGTGAAGATAAGACTACAGGCAAAATTATGGTTGTGTAAATTTGAACCTTTATGTTTTTAGACAGAAAGTAAGAAAACAATAGATTCTAAACTGAATGGCATGAAGGATTACTTGAATTTCAACTGCTCTTAATTACTTCATGAATGAAATCTGTACAGTTAGCATCATTCCAAAATATTTTAGCTTCTCCATGCTTTGTGTACAAATAAAAAAGGAATGGAAAATGTTACACATTCCTAATCACACAATATGTGACAATGTAACCATATAAATGAGCTATTGCATGACTTGTGAATAAAACATCTCACATCAGTGAAAACCCAATACAGAAGTAAGATGGTCATTAGCGGCCTCCATAGTCTAGAGGTAACATTCCCACCTCATGACTCGTAGTACGCGGGGCGGAGGTCATCAAATTTTTAAGGGCAGAAAAATTCAGGGAACAAGTCCTCCGGGAGGGACTTTAAGCCATGGGTCCCGTGTCGTAGCTCTACGGCATGTAAAAGAACCTATCTCCAAAGGAGGTCACTAAGCCAAATTACGGATGTTTCCTGCCCAACAGCAGTCTCTAATACCTCTGGTAGATGGGGGAAGCATTATAGATACCTCTCGGCTAGTAGAGTCGGTCTCGCTGGCTGGGTGGGACTGATGGTAAGTACCAGTACTGGTAGGATACAGAGACTGGTAGAAATCATAGAGGGAAGCACAATGGACCAATACAGGTCTAAGTGCATGGGGAAACCCACCCTCTCCAATAACTAACTAACTAAGATGGTCATACTAGCATCCAAGTATACTTGTGAAATTAAAAAAACCAACCGTTCATATTTATTTAACCATACTCTCAAACATGAATACAAAAACTTGTAGATCCCCACCATTTAAATTTCTGTTCATAAAATTAATGTGACTGAAAGATGCTATTTATCAAAGTTTATATACTTCATACTAACTGGTAGTTGCAAACATTATACTACATACATACATACATACACCATATAAAGATTTAAACACTGATTCACTTACATTAACAATTACTGCATAATACAGAGAAAGCCATTCGAAAGGCTAATCTGAAATCTTCCATTTATTCTACATGGTGCCCTAAAAATGGCTGATTCTCTTTCTAGTACTTGCAACCCTACTCCCTTTACAGCTACTATAATTGTTGCAGTACTTCTTAAAAATAATCTCACTTGAGAAGAGCATCTGTATATGACATAACACACTCAAAAGTCACTCTATACGGACAGGCTATGCAGCAAATAACCTCATATCTTAGGGAACTAATTTAGGAGTGGGGAAGGATTTGCACATGCAAGGTAGCACCACATGACTCATTGCCTTGTAAACCATCACATAATTGGTCACCTAGTGTTTATTCTTGTCTATACAGAATGAGTTACGATGTGTCTTGCAATTGATAATCCCGCCAGGGGCGACATTCGTGCTGTTATCAGCGTTCTTCACGCTAAAACATGAGTGCTACAGAAATCCATTGTAAATTATGCACCGTGGCTTATGACCAAAATGTAATGAGTGAAGGAACTGAAGGACAACAGTGCAGAATGCTCAAAGATGGGCAAACAAATGGCCATAATGCTGAGCGAAGTGGTAGGCCAGCCGGCCATCTGTAACGAGAGATGATCTTGTTCAAAGTGTTAACCAAAAAAAATTTGTGAAATAAGGCAATTCAGAATTTCAGAACTTTTGCATGGATTTCCACAAGTTTCACACATGGTTTTCTACAAAATCACAGTTATGTTAGGCTACCACAAGTTTTGTGCAAGATGGGTTCCAAAAAATGCTCACGGGCGTGCACAAAATGCAGAGCAAAGCTTCAGCATTGACTTCTTTCAGCAATACCACAAAAAAGGCAATGAATTTCTCAGTAACATTATATGAGTAATAGATGATGAAACTTGAGTTTCATTTGTGAATGCTGAAAACAAAAACAGTCAAAGCAGTGGTTGCACAAACATTCATCAAATGCTGCCTGCCTGTCAGAAAGCTGAGGCACCTGTTTTTCAGTAGTGACTAGATTGAGAGATACCTTAAGTATACATGTATTTTTTGTATGCACCTTTCTTTTTCTCATTGCTTACTTCGTTAGCAATTCCCCAGAGTTTACTTTCTGAATATCCTCTGTAACATGGGCATGCAGCACAGTCAAATCATATTCATGTGTATGCATGAAGAATACAATGATGAATAAGGAGCACTTGTTATGGCAACAAACAGCAAGTTCTTGGTTATCAATGTTGTCCCCGTAAATACAATTTTCTTACTGTGTTCATATTACTTTCATACCGAGGCTCCAGATAATATTATGTTAACTCATTACAATTTTGTTGCTCATGTCAGAGTTAGGTAAATGGTCAAAGTGGAGGATTACTTGCCCAAAGTGATTAATGTTGACAAGGCTGAGCCAACGTCCACCACTCCCTCGCATAACCTCTGGCCATCCGTGAATACAATATATCACACTAAACGTTGAATAAAAATTATTGCAGTTAATAATTGCATGTATTTATAGCTAAGAACTGGGTTCATGTTGTTTACATTGTAGTGCATGTTATAGAGGTGCAGAATGGCTGAGGAATGTAACTTAACTTATTTCTTAAGTTTCTTATTCAAAAATGGATTTTTGATGTTCTTCCATATATCATGGTTTACAAGAATTTAACCACAACACTAAACAAGGACTTACTGTAATGTGCTCAATATTTCAGCAAAACTGTCCCAAACTAAACACAATTAAGTTCACGATGCATTAACAACTTTTCAAACCACAGGATTTCTAGCACTCACTTCATATTTGCTATCAAGAACACGTAAAATACTAGACTTAACTGATCTCATGAAATTAATCTGAAACTGTAACACACATGTGCTGAGTAAGTTGGCCTCCAACACAGCATTTTGTTCCTACAGTGTACAGAACACATCCAACCACCAACACATAATGGAACAGCTATAAACAGAACCAGCGCCTAACACAAGACTAAACTGTTTCGCAAATGACATACTCATGATCGTCTTTAAGAATTAACTCCACATGGATAAAGCTGTCAACTTACAATTTATGTACAAGATGATTACGAAGATCTGGAGTAACAGACTGGTGCCACTCCTTTGTTCCCTGAACTGGTGTGGCTGTCACCTGACCAGGTTGCAGACCTCCAGGAAGCTGCAGACTAGTCAACCGGTTATCGATGCCCAACTAAATATATATACAGAGAGAAAGGAAATTATATTTTTCTTGTCTGTAATTTGAGACTGAACCTACAGAAACAAAGGTGAACAGGTACAATAATTTCATTCATACTGTCAACAACTGTAACAGATGGCTTCTATTTTCTGGGATATAACATCACACAGCCACATGAAAGTCAACCGACATTTCAGAAGAACATGTCTCCATCTTTAGGGTCAGAGAATATGCCCAACAAGACACCAGCATGAAAGCAGGTGGCATGCAGGCTCTTGTTAACAGCTGGTGTTTGCAATAGTGATAATTTACACTGATTACATCTGAATACAATCCACCATCAAAGAGTTTAGAGAACAGTTCATTCTTGAAACCAATTCAACTGCCTAACAGGAATGTGCATTCATCTGAAGTTTGTCATCACACAACTGTTTCTGCATATTTCTGTACATACATACTTTTTTTTAATTGCTAGTAGGGTGGGACTAAGTCCCTTGTACTGTGGCCACTTCTGGCCTATTGTACCAGCCCGATGATAGAGTGATTGTGGAGCAATTGGTGGAATGAAGATTGGCAGGGGAAACCGAAGTACTCAGAGAAAACCTGCCTCAGCACCACTTTGTCCACCACAAATCCCACTTGACCAGACCCTTGATCGAACCAGGGCCACAGTAGTGGGAAGCCAGCGACTAACCGCTTGAGCTATGGTGCAGCCCTTACATGCATACTTACTACTTATATTACTTTTCTTTCATTTTTTCTACAAAAGTTCTTTCAGATTCTTCAAATTGGGGCTACAATGCACAGAATCTACTCACACTGCCTCCCTGCGGATCGGCAGACAAGCCACCGAATATTTGGGAAACTGTTTGTTGGATGTTTGCCGCTGCCTGTGCTGCAGATGATGCTGGTCCTTGCTGTCCTGCAGACTGACTGGGATTTCCTCCAGGATCACTCCCAAGGGGTAGAGAAACATTGGGAGGTACCTGCTGCTGTGAGCCTGCAGAAACAACTGATGTTTGGGGCTGCCCTACAAATAATATTTTGTAGTTTAATTAACAATGCTTAGAGTAACTACTGCTATATAGTGTCAAGTGACTGGACGAATAATAATGAACTGAAAAGAAAGTTGACGAAAGCAATCGTGGCCTAATTTAAGCATCTGCCTGGAGGAAGTAAGGAAAACAAACCTGTCACAATAAACGGTCTCCTAGCTGAGATTCAAACTAGCTACCCCTTGAATACAACTCATAGGTGTTATAACTTCAGCCAATTTGTCTCTTTCCTCAGCTCACTCTGAGCCTGAAAATTGCAGCAGTATGCTCCAAAACACTGGTGAACTTCTACCACGCTACATGGTATTACACTGCAGAAACAAATACAGTAAAACTTGGTTATAGCAACATCGGCTTCTGCGACACCTTGTCTATTGCGTCAAATATTCAATGGTACGAACTAATTCCTCATAAAGAAACTGTTTTTATACCTTGCTTAGTACGACATGCACAAATGCATCAACCTCGTATGTAACGTCATTTTCATTCCTGAATTTCTCTGATATCGTGGGAAAGTTCGATGTGTCTGCCCACCCTCACTTTCTCTACTTGCTGACGTGACTGTCCTGGAAGAATACGACCGCGGGCTGCAAGAGGAGCGTGGGTTTTATGCGAAAACAAGGGTGTGGGGTGGGACTGCGTGAATAGTGCAAGAGGACGCGGCAGGTTGTTAACTGCATTCCTTTCCTAGAATCTCGTCTAACAGGACCTCACATTGTCTACTTACCCTATAGTGTTCCTGCCTAAACCCAGAGAAGTGCAGTAGCGAAAACATGGCAATGAAAAGGAAAGTTTTAAGCACTGAAGAGAAAGTTAAAGTGATTCGTGAAATAGAAAATGGAAGGAAAAAAGCTGATGTATGCCGCGAATTTGGTTTGGTGAATTCTACAGTACAAACGATACGGAGAATCCATATTAATTCCATGTTAATGTTACGTTAGTCTGTACTTAACTACGTATTTCACTAAAAAATGCAACATTTTAACTCGGTTTTTGGTAGATTTTTACATGACTAACATAAGGCTACTGTGGAAGTGCCCATTTCGGTTACGACATTCGTTTATAACGACACTATTTTAGGTCCCTTTGATGACATTATAACCAAGTTTTACTGTACTTCTCATTGTCATCACCATGAGAACCTCAAATCTCAAGTCAGTCTGAGTGTTTTCCAATTTTACTACAAATTTAATGTTGACTCTGCTTTAACAACTTATCACTGTTTTAAATAGACACTGCACGAATAAAACACTGTATTTACGAAAGAAGCAGAACTGTATTTCCTATCCCAGAATATAGTTCTTCTCATGGTAACTACAATCAGAACCTCAAATCTTAAACCAGTCAGTGTGTTTCCCAGCTTCAATACAAATATAACGTTGAATCTCTGTTCTAACATTTATTATTTACTGTATGTTCCATCAACACAATTCATGTACAAATTGAATACATTTATAATGTTTTCACTTTACTACATGTTTCAGCTATTCAGGCCATTATCAGACAAGCTATTTTACGTTAACACTTTACATTTTTTTGATATTATTCCCCTAGAGTGACTTATTTTTACAATTTTTAAGAGGAAGGTAATGTGTGGTATTTATAGTATTGTCAAGATTTAGGGGTGATCATAGATGGGATTTGGATTTGTGAATGGATCGAATAACCCTTCACAGACACGACCCTGAACTACAAACATTAACAATGCCCTCGCTAATTTCCACACTACAAATCACTACACACTAAGCATTCTCAGACTACTTTCACTAGTTGATTTCTGGTAACGAATCTTAATGCTGGAGATTCTATAGCTTCTGTGGTCATGCTGTTGCTGGCTGGTTAACACTCCACAACTGAACTGTGCCATCTCTTTCTCAGCCTCCCTTGCAGAACTCAACTCTCGACAGTCAATTCACAGGTTGGCAGCTATTTCATACCAACCTCCTAGTCCTCTCTTCGCAGGCTGACTTTCAACTAATTGGGTTGTGCAAATTCTCTTCATAACCCATTTGCACAGAGTAGAAACCACTGTTTCCAACAGTAATTCTATTGTTGTACAGGCATAAGTAACATGCAGTTGCATAGCAACAATGCTGTCTCCTCATTAGTTTCAAGGTGTTTCCTAGCTATGTGCCACAGCATTAATGTCGGATGTGATTCACATGCAAGCTTAAAATATTAAGGTAAAATTAATTTTAAGTTAGAACAAATAATAAGATGAACAAGTTATTATTATTACCGACAATTAAAATTTCCCTTAGACTTGAAAGGATTCTGACAATGGTGTATGCTGTACAGAACAATAAGGTTTATTTTTTGGGTCTGTCCAGTGATTGAGACTAGCTCTTTCTAATGGGCCCAACTGAGTAGGTCTATCCTGCCCCATCCACCTGAGGACGGAGACAGATCCAGTTTCCGAAACGTTCTGGTTTTTTGTCTTATATATACCAGACGATGGATAAAGTTCAAAATAAGCCTTACAGTTCTGTACAAAATTTCCCTTCTTTCTAGTTTTCAAATACCACTGTCTTCCTAGTCACTCACAAGTGGTCCAAATTTCATATCATGGTACAACATTGTGTGCCAGCACATTATCTATTACTAAAGTTCTCGGAATCATGATTGCTGTTGGATCACCATGTTCTGGTTTGGATATGTGTGCAATATTCTGTGTGTACTGGAACTAGGTCTTAACTTGTGCAATATCTGTTTTATCAACAGTACAACAATAAACAATTTACTACTCTCTCTTTTTGACACACACTAGACCAATAAAACACTTACTGTAACCACAAAACATCAACTCACTGTGCTGCCAGCTCCTGCGCAAAAATATTACTAGTTTTTGTGACATTCTGGATGTAATTAACTTTTACGGCATTAACTGAAGTGGGAAACCTAATTATAAAGTGTGGAGAGCTTACATGTGTATGCTTACCTTGCGGGTGTGGAGGTGGAAGAACTCGTACGCTGCCTCCTGGCCCAGCGGTCGAATTGGGAGGAAGCGGACCAACAGAAATCCCTGTCAAGCGGTGCGGGCGGTTCACCCCACCTGCTGCTGGTGGTAACAGACCTGGAGCCCCAGGGTTGGGTGACGGAATCCCAAGGGCTTCATATGCTCGCCTCATATCTGAGGGAGAAGGGTTCGGCTGGCTATTTGGTGCTTGACTTGGTACTGTGAAGACAGAAGGTACAACAAATAAGTGCGCTGAAATTAACACTAAAAATAAACAAAACCACCTGTTATATTTAAGTAAACTTGCCATATTTACTTAACTCATGCCACTGCATAAATCATATATGCTCCTATTTTTGTTCCAAAATAATAACTTCCCTATCTACTTACAGTGTTCAGTCTAACAGTAGTGTGAATCAAGTAAACAAGGACGCATGTACTGGTACTTAAAAGCTACTAGCATCTATATCTGCCAACAGCTGAGCAACCTGGGATTTCCTAGCATCATCATCTAGATTTGAGTATACCTTAGTAAACCATTATAAGCAATTACTATAGGGTTCTTACGATGGTGTATAACACACAGAGATATTGGGTTTTCGGACTTTATCCATCGTCCTGGTTTTAAGATAACTAATGCTATGGTTTCCACGGGTAGTGGTACCGTAATCCAGTGGCTGTAATAAGATGGTGAATGACGTCAGGCAGCGGAAAGAAAAAGACTACCACCGTAATGGTGAACAGTGCTGTAAAGCTAGAGCCGAGGGCTGGTGTGTTGTGACGGTGTGTCATGTAGAACGTGCTATAATATCAAAGAAGAAATTTAAAAATGATCTCAACTTGGCGTTATTAATATTTTTGGAAGATGAGCAGTCATCAGAAGATGATACGGAATGTTTGCAGGTAAGTTTTTGCTCTTCACATTATGTAACATCTACTCCAGCATGTCATGTTTTGGCTCATTGTAAACAAAAAGTTCACCGCAACTGCCGCAGTACTGTACAAAAACGTTGCTAGAACTGTTTCTCGCCACACTCACTGCCGTCACCGCTATTTTTCGTGGCAATGGTGGTCAACCCTTTTGAAGGAAACCATGTTCCTTTGTTTCTATGGCAACGTTTTAGTAACATCATTCACAGTCATTTTACGGCTGCTTGATTATGGCATCACTACCAAAGGAAACCAAAGCTTAAGGAAAAAAAAAACCGGAAACTGGATCTGTTTCCATCCTCAGGTGAGGGAAAACACCTATTCTGTTGGGTCCCTTAGAAAGAGCTAGCCTCAATCAATAGGCAACTGGCGGCACAAACCACAGAGGTTATAAACACCTGAGACCAGGCCAAGTCCATGAGAGCTAATAAGAAAAATATACATTACAAATTGTTCCAAACGCGTAATAGCATGGAACCAGGATAGAGAGAGCCGTAGAAATTTATGTCACAAAAGCAAACTAATAACCAGGTCCATGACACCATGGCATGGAATTGAAAGGGGAACTAGTAAAAAAATCAATAGTGTCTAACTAGCGTCAAAAATGGAGTAAATCACTCGGAACCTAATAGAAATCAATAAAAAAAAACATCACGTCATACAGATCTTCCATGTGAATTGGTGACTTCATTGCTGATAATGGGGATACAAATGGGAGAAAAGTCCAAACTGGGTTGACTAATTGGGTTGGCAGAGCATGCCATATGGGCCGCTTCCTTGTATTTCCTATACCTGATGTGGCTTTCAATATCCAAAATCTTAGCTTCATCCCAGCCTAACATATGTCCCTCTTCATAGGCATGTTGAGCTAGTTTTAAGTTTTTTCTAGAAGACCTTCTTTGAGGTCATGCCTATGTTCCCAGAGCCGCACGGCCAGAGGTCTGCCTGTTTCGCCAATGTAGCTTCTGCCACATTCACAGGGAATGTATAGACGCACTGTGCCGTCTGTTGCGGATCTCTTTTTAGTCTGGTTTTCATAAGTGAGTTAATAAGTGTGTGTTTCATTCGGAAGATGGTCCTAATATTATATCGATTACCTATCCGTTTAAACTTTTCAGAAACACCCTTCACATATGGAATATATACAGAACAGGGAGGTTTTTCCTCTTTCTTCAGACGACTACTGCCCTTGGAATTAATGACCGAGTCAATGAAGCCTCTGGGATAACTGCTCAAGTGAAGATCGTGTCTCAGGTTGTTAATTTCTTTGACCAAATCTTGATCTTGGCATATCGTGGAGACTTTTAACCTTTAACGTACGGACTTTCAAATTGCTGGCAGCCCCCTGCAGCCGATATTTAAATCGCCCTAATTAAATAACATTGCGAACTTTCAGAAAAAAATCCATATTTTTTGTTCTATAAAACCTAGAAATACAAACTAAAAACAACCTGAAAGACAATAAAATTTTCTACATATACACAAAAGAGCAATTTTTACAAACGAAAATTAACTGATTATTTTGTCATGAATTGCAAAATATAATCTTTATTATATATGTTAGGAAATTCCAAAGGACTTAACCCTTGTTTTTTCTTCAACCTTGTAAATATAATCTCACTATATACAATAATATTTTGTTCAGACTGTACAAGAGTTTGAACTGTGTCACTTCACAGTTTACAATACACTCTGACCCGCAGTCCACCTTACGCAAAGTGACATCACACTTTTTACAATAGAAGAGTGTGCTCCTGCTTTTCTTATTTAGCGAATCACATGACGTCTGTTTCCCTTTGGTTGGCCAGTGTTGTGAATGTTTCCTCCAGTCGCCTCCGTTGGGCTCCAAGTAACCTTGGCCTCCCCTGAGAAAGGGCCCTTGTCCACGACAAGAATTTTCGCCGTCCGCCGTTCTGATAGATTTACCGGGTTGGTAGTGATGCATTGTTTCATATGAGAGTTTGTCCAAGAGCCATCATGGCAAATCTACCAGTCCGGCTGCCGGATGCAGCACCGGATTCCCACTGTAGAGATGGCAGCCGGACGGTGCACCGTGTTCTCAGTGGGACATGCATTAACATGTCTATGTGTCCACGAGCCATCGAGCTCGCCGTCAGTCAACAGTTGGTCTTGAGCATGCAAGTTTCATGTGTTTTGTGTCTGTAGTATTCTTTTCACTACAGTGAGCGCAGAATTCAATATTGACTGTGAATTATTAATTACGCTTGTCGAGGAAAGACCAGTACTGTGGGAGTCAAGTGAAGAGTACAAAGACAGTCGGCTAACTTTGCAAGCTTGGAAGGATTTATGCTCACACCTTAAAGAAGATTTTGAAACAATGGGAGATGAGGAGAGAAACAATATAGGTATGTAATTTTCATCTTGTGTGATAATTTTATTAATACACAATACATACTTTCCATCTATACCTACTATATATTTTCAGTTATTTTATTAATATCATAAATTGTCAAAACATTCTCCATGTGCAGATACGATATTATCTAGCAAAGAACTTGTGATTTAAAAATTGCACATTGAACAAATAAACTGCTAACAATGATTTCCCAACAAAATATTCACTAATAATAAAAATTGTGACAAGAAGTTGTGAGACAGTGAATTTATGGCAGTAGCAGTGCCGAGTTCATGGATTATCTTCATTACTGTACATAATGCATTAATACATTAAGCGAACTTATTCTGCCATGGAATTTTTCCAGCTTCAGAAACGAAGTACTTAGCGAAATTATTTATGATAGTGTTCACTGACAAACCACCTCATACTGCTTGTGAGCAAGGGAGTTCTCTTAGTTCCAAGTCCACATCTACAGTCATATCGGCACACACAGTATTAAGTCCCGCTTCTTTATGGATGAAATTCTGAAGAACACAACAAGCCTTTACTATGTCAGTCGCAAAATCTGTGGAGACATTCAAAGGCCTGTGAAAAATCCTGCACTTATTGGTCATTATGCCAAATGCACACTCTACAAATCGTCTTGCTCTAGTTAAAAATTCGCTTAATGTGGTCAAGTTCTTGGCTACCATAGGGACGAAGTAAATTATTATGCAATGCAAATGCTTCGTCACCTACGAAAACATATGGCAATTCCCCTTCAATATCTGGCAGTGCCCTGGGAGGAGGTATATTCAGCGTTTCCTTGCAGCCTTTTCCATAACGACGTTTCTTTAAACACACTCGAGTCACAATCCTTTCCATAAGCACTGGCATCCACAAAAATGAAATTATAATTTGCATCCACTACTGCCATCAGGACTAACGAATAATAACCTTTATAACTGAAAAACATTGAACCACTCTCTTCTGGTTTGATAATCCTGATGTGCTTGCCATCAACGGGCCCCTATGCAGTTTAGAAAATCTGCGGTAATATCAAACTGACGTGCTATCCATCCATTCACTGACCATCGGAATAGGCATATATGTTCTATATAATAACAACCACATCTTCATGCAAACCTCGTGTACAATTCTACTAATTGTTTTTATTCCCAGTCTGAAACTGTAATGGAGATCTGTGAACGTATTTCCTGTTGCTAAATACCTGAAAAAAAAACATAGATTTAATTCTTCTTCGGTTTTTTTTTTCCAGGAAAACTGGTGATGAAAAAAATGGGCAAACATCGGGGATAACTGGATGAAATGTCACAAGAAATTAAACCAGGAGCAGAAGAGCGGTTCTGGAGCAAAGAGGCACAAATACCTGTTTTATGAGGAACTACGATTTCTGACAAAAATAGCAACTCATCGACAAACTACTTCAAATATGCCCGATAACGTTAACCTTGCTGACAGGCAGACTGAGAGGCAAGAGGACAAATGTAATCATGAACATAAAGAAAAACCGCCAAAATACAAGAGAGTTACAAATGAATTGGATAGGAAAATGATGACTTTCATTGATGCTTCAACTGAACAGGGCCAAAGCAGAATTATGTCTTTTTTTACAGGCATTGCACCAACTGTAGACAAATTTCATGACGAAGATATCGTCGACTTTCAATATGAAGTCATGAGACTGATTAAAAGTATTATGTCAAAACATCGAAACAGTGGAATGCATCCACAATCCTCTGAAGTTTCTGGGAACCAATGTCATACATCACGTGGATACCAAACTGTCGCAGGTCCATCATCGTACCAGACGTCATTGACTAATCAACAGCACGGCCATCCAGTATGTTCCCCTGCCGAACAATCACAAGCCTCAAACAGTAAAAGTGCTGCATCTGGAGAACAGTCGTATTTTGAATCTTATACTTATTACCACCTTATCTAATGTTTCAGAGACTTTGGATTTTTCTAACGAATTCTAAAATGTGGAGTGTTTTGTCATCTTTGATAATGTGAATGTATAAAAAGGATGAAAGACAACTATCACTTTTGGTGGCTACCTTAATAAGGAGGATACAGTTAATTTAAGGTACTTTTCGTTTGTATTACTGGAAATTAGTAATTTATATCAATATTGGACATTTTCACTTGTCTGTGGGTCTACTGAATGAAAAATTACATTTGTGTCCTTGTTAAGGTAGATAAAAGTAATTCATTTTCCGTTTCACTTCTTTTACTGAGAGCTTTTTTAAATTAAGGTGTTCATTTTTGTATAACAAATAAATATTTTCAAGCAAGTAAACAATTTGAATGTGTACTCACCTCAGTGTCACTGTTAGCAATTCAGGTTGAGAAATGCAGTTCCGCATATTGGTGTTGTCGTGTTTCAAACAGATGCATAAAACTGTCAGTAACTTGTCAAATAATTCTTTTGACATTCTAAAAAAATTAACATGCTTTGCGTCGTCCTGTCGTAGTTTTTAAAACAGCGTACTAAATGCACCAAATTTTAATTGGTCTTGCAACACAGGATGCACCCAATACCTTCTGTGTCGTCGTTTATTTTTGTAAAAATAATACAGTGCAATTAGGATGCATACATCCGTATTATCCATTCTACTGCACCCGTGCACAGACTCACCTCGGCTCAAGTGAAACATTTTCCGCGCGCCTGCCATCTCCATGGACAAGGCCACCCGGTTTTGTCTGCTGGCCGGTGGAATTACCGTTCTGGCAGGAATTCTTGTCGTGGACAAGGGCCAAAACGCCACTGACCGTGATATTCGGCTTTGAGACTTGGTGATATTGTAAATATAATCAGACTATATAGAATAATATTACTGTACGCGAGTTTGAACTGCGTCACTTCACAGTTTCAGTTCACAGTCACTTCAATATGATAGTCACTCTTGACACGCGTGGCACTTCTCAAAGCAGTCCACTTCACACAGAGCAAAATCATGCTTTTTACAATAGAAGAGCGTGCTCATGCTTTTTTTATTTAGCGAAACACACGACACCTCTGTTTCCCTTTGGTTGGCCAGTAATGTGAATGTTTCACCTCCAGTCAACTCAGTTGGGCCCCCTGATAACTTTGGCCCCCCCCCCACCCCGAGAAACGCCACTGACCGTGACACTCGGCTTGTGCGATTGAAGAATCATCTTGGGGTAGGGGGGTTTCTAGCAAAATTGAATAAATTATGTTGATTGACAAAGCGACACTCTCACCTGTTGGTAATCCTCGCAAAATAGTGATGCAAAGTAATTATAATACTAGTCGAAAAGAGTGCCAGTCCAACACATACTGAAAGTCGCAGTGGCGAAGATGCCTTTACTCACAAAGTAATAGTGGCTCAGTGGGTTTATACTTCTTCAAAGACGCAAAATAAATATGATATATAAAGAAATATATGACAGTCTGACATTGACTTTCTAACTGATAAAGAAATATTAGACAATCCGACAGACTTCCTGACTGATAATTCGCCACTGAAAACCAATCCTTGAATGCGTCAGACTTCCTTGAAGGCTCTGGAAGCACTCATATGCAAGCACCGATAAATATTTCCTCATCAGTTCTCGCAACAAAGCTGGGCTATATTTGGCTGAACAGGTCATGAACAGTCATATCTAAACGTAAATAGTATCGAAACCAGTACCGTGATAAACAATTTCTTTGTTCTGAGCTAAGGAATGAACCACTGACATGACCTCACGTAGGTCTGTTTTGGTTTCAAACCCAAGGTCAAACTGTCAGCACTCCCAAAGTGAGCATGTGTCCTGCGGCATATATATGTGTCATTCGGCCAACTCTGGTTGCTGCTTGCGACATATATATGTGCCATTCGGATGTTAATCAAGCCTCTTTTTACATGTGGCGGATGGTCAGATTTGAAGTTGAGGTATTGGCCAGTGTGGGTCGGTTTCCTGTAGACTTGTGTAACTAGTGCCGTCTCTTCCCTGATGACCAGAACGTCCAGAAAAGAGATCGCATTGTCTGACTAACTTTCCATAGTGAAGCAGATGAAAGGCCTTAAACTACTGAGGTGGTCGAAGAAATTCTGTAATCTCTCTGGATCATGAGGCCAGACTACAAAAGTGTCATCTTTTGGTGTTTTCCTTCACCTGAGGATGGGAACAGATCCAGTTTCCGCAATGTCCTGTTTTTCTTAGTTATCTTAAAACCAGGATGATGGATGAAGTCCAAAAACCCAATATCTCTGTGCATCATAAGCAAATTGAAAACATCTGTTATATTCTCAAAGAGAAGGGAATGCCATCAAATTTTCAGAAGATTAACAACCCAAAGATTATATTAGCCCTTTAAACACCACATACTGCCGACTAGACCAGCTGAGGGTATTTGTAATACAAAAGCCACAACAGAAGAGGCTGGCTCATAGCTAACCAATCTGTATAGCATTCTAGCAGACAGAATCAAGAATACTGATCTTTAGAGGGAACAACTTTTCACATGAAATAGTTCTGCCTCCTTTTAAGATCATCTGACATAAGTACACTGCACTCATCTGGGAGGTGGCTACCTATCAGTGTAGTGAAGGGCTATGAACAGGACAGTTGGGATTCAATTCTTGGTAGGGGTCAGAGATTCTTTCCTTCACAGCATCCAGCCTGGTTCTGGGGTCAACCCAGCCTTCTATCCAATGGGTACTAGAGGCTCTGACTATGGAAGTAAAGCAGACAGGGTGTGAACCTGACCGATCACCCCATCCAGTGCCGAGGTAAAGAACGGTGGAGCTAA